AGGATATAAAATAATTATTTAAAGAAAAGATTTTGTATAAGTAAAATATAAACGTTTTGGTTAGACTTAGCAAACTACATAAAATGTCCGATGCTTATCCAGAATATATCGAAGAATTTAGTATTGAGATAGCTGATTTTAATCCAATTGGTCCAACAGGCCATATACCTTTACCCGAAACAATACCAAAACGTAATAATGGTATTATAAATATTCAAAATGATGATGACTGGTGTTTTGGATGGTGTGTCTTAGGAACATTGCATCCGGTTAAAGTTCATCCAGAAAGAAATCCTCATCGACTATATGGAGCTTTCGTAGAGGAACTTAATATGGATGACATCCCAATTCCAGTACCAGTTTCCACACCCGTTTACCAAAAATTCGAAGAAAATAATCCAGAAATCAGTCTATGTGTATATGAATGGCACAATCAAAATAAATGTTTAGAATTTCGTTATATAACAGAAAGAAGGGGTGATGAATATAAGCAAGTAAATCTTTTAGTAATAACGGAGGAGGATAGAAGCCATTACTGTATAATCAAAGATTTACACAAGCTAGTATATAACCATAGCAAACATAAAGGAAGAAAATATCTTTGCCGATATTGTCTTCATGTATTTTCAAATGAAAAAGGATTTAATGAGCATAAAGCAGACACGAAAAAATGTTTAGGGGTAAATCACGCTCCACAATTACCAAAAGTTCCCACAATAGAACAATGCATCAAACTATTCAATAACCATAAATGCATGCAACCAAATCCGTATCGTATAATTTGGGATCTTGAATGTTTAAAAGAAAAGTTAACCCCAGAAGAAAATTCGCAATTAACACGTACTGAAAAACTCCAAAGGCATAGACCTTGTGGCTTTTCATATGTAGTAGTGCGAATGGATAGTTTTGGTAAGTATGAAATAACGAGCCATTATTTGTATAGGGGTCCAAATGCTTTAAAAAAATTTGTCGACAAGCTTGAAGAAGAGCTTGCAGAAATTCAAGCAGATTTATCATCACCTGCGGAAATAATTATGGAACCAGGAGACCATACAGCATTTAATGAGGCGATAGAATGTCATATTTGTGAGAAGCCTTTTATTGAGCCGGCACCAAAAATTTTGCAACAATTCGAAGAAGCAAAACATCAACTGTTAGAATGTAAAGAATGGGAGGCACATATGAAAAAAGATCATCCCAAAAAGAAAGACGTACAGAAGAAATATCAACAAGCGTTAAATAATCTTAACCGTAAAGTCAGAGACCATTGTCATATTAGTGGGAAGTACAGAGGGCCAGCTCATGATGCTTGTAACAAAAAGTTACAAATGGGAGCGTTTAAAACAAAAATACCACTCATTTGTCATAATTTTCGAGGATACGATTCGCATTTACTCATAGAAGTCATTGGTAGATTTACAGCGGATAAGTTAAAGTGTATTCCAGAAAATATAGGTAAATATAAAGCTATGGATGTTGGACAATTTCGTTTTCTTGATAGCTTCCAACATATGGCAATGGGTCTTGATAAACTTGTTGAAAGTTTTGGTGGAAAGCTCGAAAAGCTTCCTTTATCAGTCAAGCACTTCACTGAAAAGGGGTACTCATTAGATCAAATCAATTTATTAATAAAACGAAAAGGCGTATTTCCTTATGATTGGACAAACTCATGGGACAAATTCGAAAGAACAAGTCTTCCACGCCGAAAAGACTTCTATTCTATACTTAACCAGCAAAATATTAGCAAGACAGATTATGAGCATGCGCAAAAAATATGGCAACGATTTGGAATGACAAATTTCGGTGAATACCATGATCTTTATCTTGAATGCGATGTACTTTTGCTTGCAGACGTTTTTATGAATTATACTATTATGTGCTTACAGGATGATGGCTTGGATCCTTCCCATTACGTTTCAGCACCAGGTATGTTTAACGATTCACTGTACAAAAGTAGCAAAGTTGAGATTAAATTAATGTCAGATATGGACGATTATTTAACAGTTGAAAACGGAATTCGCGGAGGCATGACAATGGTAAGCCATCGATATGCTAAGGCAAATAACGAGAAATGTCCCGACTACGACCCTAATAAACCGAAATCCTGGATCATGTATGAAGATATGAATGCTTTATACTCAGGAGCCATGACGCAATACTTGCCTACGGAAATTTTGGGTAAGGTAACTCCAGAGGAAATACCTGACATTCAAAGAATTGCTCCGGATGCGGAAATAGGATATATATTAGAGGCCGATTTAGACGTTCCAGGCCATTTGCATGACTTCTTTGCGGATTATCCATTAGCTCCAGAGAAACAAATAGTACCCGAAAACTGGCTTAGTTTGTATAATGAAAGGTTAGTACGCGATAAAGAGGTTGGAGGAGGGAAATACGTATCTGGCGAAAAGTTACTTCAAACGCTTTTGCCGAAGAAAAATTACGTAGTTCATTATCGCGCGCTTCAGCTATACATGAAGTACGGATTAAAAATTACAAAAATCCATGGCGCATTAAAGGTTAGACAGTCTCCATGGATGAAAGCGTATATTGAGGAAAATATTCGCAAACGCAAGATAGCTAAAGCCAATAAAGACGAATTTGGCGTGATGTATTACAAGCTAAAAAATAATGCCGTATTTGGGAAACAAATGGAGAACGTTCGCAAACATATGAGAGTGGAAATACTTCGATCAGATCAGGACAAAAAACTCACTCGTTTAGTAAGTTCACCTCTATTTGTAGGATTCAAAGCATTCGAGGGTGGAATTACAGCTGTCCACATGTTAAAAAGTACGGTCACTCTGAATAAGCCAATATTTGTGGGACAAGCGATTCTTGATATTAGCAAGGCTATGATGTTTAATTTCTGGTATGGATATATAAAACCTCGCTACGGAGACAAGGCCCGCCTACTTTATACAGATACAGATTCGCTAATTATGTGGATCGAAACTGAAGACATTTACAAAGATCGAGCGGAAAGACCAGACATTTTCGATCTTGACTATTCTGGGGATTTATTCTTAATGAAGGATGAAACAAAGGGAGATCCCATAGGTGAGGCAGTATGTTTGAAACCGAAAATGTATTCAGTACTTCCAGCTGGTCATGACCCTAATACTCCTAAAACTGATGCAGATTTCGAAAAAGAGTTAGAGGACGAGGAAACTAGAAAATCCCAGGGTATAAAAGACTGGCAGAAAAAACATGGTATGCAAAAGGCTAAGGGTGTCAAAAAGTGCGTGGTCAAGAGAGAGCTTCGGCATGACAAGTTTTTGAAATGTCTTGAAACTCAAAAATTAACTAGACATGATATGTATGGCTTACGCAGTTATGATCATCAAATTTATTTGGAACGAGTAAATAAAATTGGATTAAATCCTTATGATAATAAACGCTGGATTTTATTAAATGGAATTCGTACTCTACCATATGGGCATTGGCGAATTAATGCATATAAAAGTATGATTAAAGCTGGTATGTCTCCAGAGTTGGCCGAAAGAAGAGCAATGGTAGCTCAGCTTCATCCAACATTAGAGAACAAGTATATGGTAAATCCGAAGTTACTTGTCTAAGCTTTATGTGTCAAAGACACTAGACAATGTGTAACTACATTCATATTTATATTTATATTTGATTTATTTTTTTATCTATTTAATATAATTAAGATACAAAATGACAAGTGATCAAAAACAGTATATAAATTTCTCTGAAAAATTCGATGGATTAGCATCTGATATAGATGATATTAGAGATTTATTGAAGGAAGTTTTACAGTATAATCAAAATATTATTGATGCAATATCGGATCTCAATATATTATCTAATATAACTATTAAGAAAAAATCCCGCTATGATGCAGGCACGCAAGTGCCATTGTTCCACAATAAGCATCGAATCAAAGATTCCTCCGAATTACAAAATAAAATTGTTAAGCTTGAAAATAGAATAGATATGTTAGATGATGATTTGATTGAGCTTAAGCGGGAAATAGACGATATTAAAAAAGATCTTATCCGAATATAAATCCAAGAATGAATATAATACTCTATCCGACTCACCAGGATCTGATTAGGTGAAGAATTTTCACGTCTATCACATGATATCGAGCCCCAAGGGATCGATGTCACATGTGTGGTATAGCGGAGCTAGTGGAACAATGGCACTAACGTGCCTGACACATAAAAAAAAAATTTAGGAGCGACGTCATCCCTGAACGCAAGGTCATTTATGACCTAGTACTAGCATCTAGATAACGGCATACTTCTTCGTAATTAAATATCGCTTTGGTTTCACCACTCCTGTTTACGACTGTTATTAACCCCCTGTCGATAATATGATCGTATTTGGTTCTATTACAAAACAGTAGATACTGCTTCGGATTTTCAGTAAATTTCCCCTGAGTGCAACGTCGATTGTTTTTCGATTTGTTCTTGCGAGACATTTCGGTTATATAAGGAAAATGCAAATAATCAATTAGCCGGAGGCCTAATTTTTTAGCGGGTATTCTTATCGTTACGCAAGGATTACCTGTAGATCCTTACATTTCAGGGTACGGCTATTAATAACATATATTGTGATCATCGATAATTTATTACTTCGAGACGTAAAGGACCAATACCACGGATGGAATGGTTGATATAATGTAAATCCATAAATATAAAGTCGTACGTTATTATTTGTTATAACTGTATGAACTCATGCTAGTAATTTATACTCGATTTAGAACGAAATCTAAAGAACCAATACCGTAATCCGCTAGCAACAACTTTTGATATATATAATAGACGAAGTCGTTGGAGATTTGGATAAGAAATCATTATACGTGAAGCCAGCGTGGCCAAAAAACGTTCACTTAATAAATCAAAATATGATTAACCAATTTATCAACCGCAAAATCAATAGCCACAAGATGCAACTCAATATTACCGATATATTTTTATTTGCGATTTTCGTCGCTGTATTTGTGGTCTATATGATAACTTATCAAAACATACCGAAACTTGAAAAAGGTGTTTCAATATTACAAAATAAAACCGTCCAAATACATACTAAAGCGGAATGGAGAAGTGAAGTCCAAAGTAAAGGTTTGTAAACTATTTCATGAGAATGATACACTGTGTTGAGACATGTAAGATTATATATTTATAAAACCCGAATTTTCTAACTAGGACAAGCATCTGCGCAAAGTTACGCATCTGAATGCTATACCGAAACTGAAACCCTCTGGGTTGAATTTACCGCCTTGGAAAAAGAGAAACGTTCTCCTGTACAAATGTACAATGTCTTGTATGGAGAAATAGGTCTCAGTCCAATAACGCTTGCAAGTTACTATCGGTATCAAAAATGGCCGCAAAAAATATTATTAGACAAAATCGAAGCAAAATATAATCGAAAAAATTCTAGTAGCAGTAGCAAAAACCTATTTTTGAGTAGCGCTAACAGAGAAATAATTCGCGATAGCCGTAGTTTTAAAAATAACGATAACGGTAATGATGATATTAGTTAATATTCGCGAGCCCAAAGAATAGGAGTAGTTATCGTCTTCCGAGACAGGCTTTGGGTCTGACTACTTCTAGTACTCTGATCAAGTACTAGTTTGCCTCCCATGCAAGCTCGCGATTATTTAACATCAGATATTGTCGTTGACAAAGTAGACACTGTTTGTAATAAATAATGTGTAAAGTTATATTGATACTGCGTAAACGACATACCAAATTCATGCCCGTTGCGTAAGTGTTAACAAATAGCAAAATTGACATCCGTTTAAAACTATAAAGTCTCTAAACACAACAAAAAAATAAACGCTTTGCACAATGAAACCAAATTTATTATGCTAACATCAATCGAATAGGAACAAATTGCTCACATTTTTTTTTCATCGGAGCACTGTTGTTCACTGTCGGAACACTGTCGTTCACTGTCGAAGCACTGTCGTTCACTGTCAAAATGCTGTCAGGCTACTGTCATTTATTGACGAAATACATTTATTTTTTGCGCGCCAATGCTCTTTTAACCTGCAAGGATATTGAAACAGTTTACCGCAATATTTACATGTTCGGTCGCTCAATTTTTTTTTGCGCCTCCAGTGTTTGCTCGGCTATTGTAGTATCAAATGAATCTGGAAGTTTGAAGTCTTTTGGAGCATTCCATTTTTCTGTATTAAAAACATTATCGGATGTAGGCTCGGAGAGCCATGATTCTTTGAATCACCTAACGGCCTGCTTCGCAATAGTTACATCGTAAGTATATTTTTCTTTTCGAGTAGAAAGTGGAATTGTAATAGTCTTTCCATTATGTGTAGCTATAAATTCACCTTTCACTATAGGATCCCATCCAACATGATGTTGCTATTTAGTACCAAGTATCATTATAGATATATCATTCCCATTTCGATTTTTTTTTGTAGGGATTACAGATATTTCTTTTTCAGAAACTGTTATAGAATCTTTTCTACTATCTATAGATATAGGAATATTACATGAAGTACCAACAGACTGGGAATCTCCAACTGCGCCCGTAAGTTTGTGAACATTTTTCTTATCTATTTTTATCCCTAAATATTCAGGAATGTTATCAGTAAATAATGAATCATTTGCACCGGTATCTAGAATTGCGTGTGGTATTACCAAGTCACCTATTCTACAAGAAATTGTTGCTACATCATTAGGTTCTCTTATATCGAGAAAATCAATCTCAAAGGGATTAGGCCAATTTCATGTTATTTGTGCTCCTTGATATTCTTTAATCGCGTGATTTAACACAATAGAATTATCAGCGGAGCTGGCACGACCAAGTTTTTCTGGAGGTAGTACATTGCTATAATTATGATTCATTTCTTTGTGACCTGAAGAGTCTGGATCTTGCCTATTAATAAACTCAATAAATGGTTGGAAGATAGTTTGATATTTTTTCGCAATATTCTCCCATACCTTATTTCGTTCTTTAACTGTATACTTTTCAGCATAATAGGAATCAAATTGGTCCTTCATTTTTATAAACAGATTATTAAGAATGTACGAGCTTCAATGAGAATCTCCTTAGGACAATGGGGTATTAATTCGGATATCATATATTTAAGAGATTCAAGAAATACTTCCTGTTCCAAAGTAACAATGGACTTCTTATTCTTCTTAGTAGAAGACTTCTTCTTTACAGGAATCGACTTTTTTTTTTATATTAAAGCAATTTTGTGGTTTACTATCAGAAATGCTTTCTTCACTCTGATATTCATCATCATTTTCCTCATCATCATCTTCCAGTACTATAATAGGTTCATCTTCTTGATCATAATCTTTAGGTTCAGATTGATCGGTATAAGTATAATTAACTTTCTTAGGTCTTTTACCTTTTAGGGAGGAACACATATTTTTTCTATGTCCAATTTTTCCGCATTTTGAGCATTTGTAAGTAACTTTAGTTGGCTTCTTTGTAACATATACTTTTTTTGGCCGCGCCAGCTCCGCTGAAGTTCTAACTCCGTTAACTTGACCAAAAGGCTCTTTTCTAAGATAATAATTTTCATATCCTAGTCTTTTATATAATTCATCTTCGATAAAACTTCCTAAAGCATCAAGATTTCGAGATGCATCGTCTGAATATCCTAATCTCATAGCAATAGTTTCTAAATGATCCATTTCCCTATTTTTGTTTTCCTGGGGTTGGAATTGTGGTTGATATGGGGTGGGAGTTGAATTAGTGACAATAACAGGTAAATTTCTATTTCCATTATATGTAAAAGTAATAGGTTGATGCTTAAGCCAAATATTTTTAAGATTGGTAAAGACAGCATCTATATCGCCTGGATTTGTGTTTTCTAATCTAATATAAAGTTCATCCGGTAAATGAGTCCATAAGATTCCTAATGCTAAATGCATCAACATTATTATTTGCTGTTTGTAATAATAAAAGGCAAATTCTTTCCTCATATGTATCCGGTGTATCAGTTGGTAAAAATTTCTCTTGTGCCAATTTTGATAATGAGGCATTGCGTGATCCTATTGTTAATTCGTGATATCTATGCCTTAACCATGTTTTAAATCGAGCAGGAGTGTTAATATCAGTACCAGCAGGGAATTGAGCAGGAACTGGAGCATATTTACCTGACATTTTAGATTTTAAAATATTGGCTTTAACTCCATCATTAAATGCTCCCACACCTAATGCTGTACCATAAGAAAATACTTGTTCGACTTTATTATAATAACTAGACGTGTGTACTGTGCCGCCCGATTTCATCGGTCGGCCTTTAGATTTTTATCATTGGATAAATTTAAGTTAGAACGTATTTCACAATTTAAAAATCAGCGAACTGACGTTTATGTCAATAAAAACGAATAAACGGAGCCGTTAGTTTGTTAGTAATGGATCGAGCTACCTTTTTTCAAACCTCTCCTTGATCTACTCCTTTTCAGTCGCTTTTTCCCATCGTCATTTATGACCATACTATTGTTTCGCCGTTATCTTCTTCGT